ATATTTCACTTACAACTCCACGAGAAATTTGCAATTGTATTGACGTTTGTTCGTTTTGAACAAAATTAAGTTTTTGACAACTAAAGCCATCGTAAAAATTATATTTATTCTTGACCTATTTTCAACTGCGCAAATGTACTTTTTTAAGTGTCTAGGTATGTGAAAATTGATTTACTAGGCAATAAATGATCGAAATCGACATACCTGTAAAAGGTTGCTATCAATGTGGGACGCAAACACAAGACTGAGGAAGTCCATGGCAGCACGGCAAGCTCGGTAAAACAGTTCACATTGTATCGATGTGAATAAAACGAAGTCCTATTAATATTCAAATAGGCGAAATAATTAAGTGATCGTGAAATACATTGCACTATTTCCTAAGTATGTTATTTACATTCATTTTTTTAATTATCATTTAATTTTCGAGAAAAAAAAACAAAGAAGCAAGACTAGATGACCCCCCCCCCGAGATGCTGTCAACTGGATAACAGCCGAATCCACATACATGCTCGGTAATGTTCGGCTGTTTAAAAATAACTTGTGACCCGTATCTTGCAAACACTGTAATTGTTACATTTGATATATGACACATACTACGTCATATACCAACGACTGCAAACAATATATCCCATAATACAACTTTAAATCTATAATTTGAGAGCCTGATTCTATCTCACCGGCTATGTATATTAACAAACTCACAATGAACGCATCCGTATTTTACTAAATGTCTCCTCCACAAACAGTGAATTCCTTTATTCCCATCATGCATTGCTGTAGAGAATATTCTCGATCACTGTGCCAGGCGTTGGTTTTAAGAGAGTAAATTCATCAACAAGTTTGAGCCAAGTTGTCATGCTTTATTTGCCCCTCACATAAAATACCACACGACTAGTAATTCCTGTGTTATTTAGATATATTACCATCCCAACCTCCGTATTGGTTTTTCATAAGCTATATAGTTTATTTAGAAAATTCAATCAAATATTTCCTTCTGAGATTCATAGTTTTGCGGTATGCGCTGAGTGGTTAGCTCATAACCCGCAAAATGTCACGTGGTTTCATCATACCTCACTACAGACCGATACAATATACAGTATATAATTATTCCTAATTACGCTTAGTGTAAACAATCCCAAGAGCCGTTTGTAGTCGAAGTGTTGTTTTTAAATTCACGGCATTGTCGACATTCTCTTCTATTTGGCTTTTGTTGGTTATAGCGCGTAAATCAAATACAAACAAAATAAATTATCAAGGAATTTCATTTACTGTGGCAACAATAGAATCAATAAAAAATGGGGACATCACAAACTACTCCATATTGCTGATATGCTCAAACAATGGTATGACTGTGCCATAAAGAGTTGCATTGAAGTTAACGGTAAACAAATACTAAACATAGGAATCAAACTTGCCACTGTAGGCAGGTGTGTTCCTCATTGAAGCTACAGTCACTGTCTTAAAAAGGAACACTGCTAAATAGAAAGTAATTGAAGAATCAGACATTTTTCGTCCCAGTGACCGGCGTGTGACTCCCGACCAGTCTGCGTGTGTAAATTAGTTACGTAGTGTGAGATTGTGTAGGGACGATAACATAATTTTAAAAATAAAATTAATGATCAAGGAATTTTAGTTACAAGGGTAACAATTGAATCAATAAAAGTGAGCAGGGTCATTTCAATCTACTTTCTATTGCCTGAAATTTTCAAACATAGTCTTCTCACGACTTAAAGAGATACACTGTCCTATGGCGATATTGAATGTAAGCGAAGATGCACTTAAGTTATTTCCAGTTCAGCCGTTATTTTGCAGCAAAAATACAATTTCAACTGTTGATCTTCATTTATATAAACCATCTTTTTGAACATTCTTATACAATAATATTGATTTCAGAATTATTGAACGCATCCTTCTCAACTTTTAAAAACGGTCAAGTTGAGTACACGATTCGTTAGATTTATGTGTACATTACCCATACCCATGGAGAGTGTTCTTACAGTTACTTATCACGAACGTAAACAACTATGATCGCAATCTTTACCTTGTTATCAGCCCGGTAGATAACGATCGTGTTAGAATGTTGGGTTGATACGTGGATAACGGCGAGTGTAGTTTATTGAACAGAATGCCGTCATAAAAAATACAGATTGTAACGTAGTAACCTGATAAACAGGCATGGACGTTGTATCACGTATCACAATAACATTCAATTGTTCGGTTGATAACTCCTGCAACGTCAGTCTGATTTGTTTATTTGTTGCTTTTATGAGTAATTATAAAGATACTTCTAATTTGTGCATTATAATCATCAGAAGAAAACCCAAAGCACGAATACATGCATAAGGTCTAAAATAGGGTCATATCTATTAATAAACTATAGACCCATTTCAGCGGGCGCAAATGAGATTCGTACAGGTATAAACTTGTAACTTCCCTGGGAAACTCCTTATTAATGTCTCACCCCCCCCCCTCCACCCGTCAACTTCCCCGGACGGTTGAAGCGACCGCAAATACTAGTACGATTCATGCGGATCAAAATTCGTATTGTGTAGTCACAACAATATTGCAATATGAAATTAAACAGCAACAAAAATGAGTTGTCCAATATCAAGTGGCGTCAGGTGATGAGATTGTAGCAATTCGCCGATAAGAAAGTCCCTCACTATATTCAAGTTGCATGTATTCTAGAGTTTGCTAAATCCATGCACGAATCTTGCGCCTACTGTAAAGTGTGCCATAAACCCTACAATGTCTCGGCGTCCAAATTTCGTTCATATGCACTCTGTGGTCTATAGAATGGATTTATTTTTCTACCAATGCATCTAACACATCTGCCGTTCACATGAATATTTATTATTTGGTTGTCTTTGTAACCAAGGCAACTTCAAATACCTGTGCTTACTCTATTAAAATACGGTTTTTTATTACTATACTGTGTCAAGGTGGCGAATATCGATTTATATATGTAATATTTAAGTTCTATGTTGGCCCTCGCTGGATGGTTACCGTGGTACGTCATGTCAAAGGTTACGACTATTCGTAAAAACTCCATTTGGTCGAATGAACATTTGATCTAATGACAATTTCAGCGAAAGTCCGTTTGGTCCGAATAACCATTTCGACCGATGGGTCCATGCTCAGATCACTATGATTTGAGATCAATGTTGGTTTTAGCCGGAGGGGGAGGGTAATGGATTGTTTTTTGAGAGTTCAATCACATTCAGTCAGTGGCTCAATACATGATTGAAACACCTGTTTTTCAAATTGCTTTTCTATGGTGTCGAGACAATTGGAATCAGCATTCGACCTTATTTCGGGCATTCTGCGGACACCCATAACTGGTTTCTTACGCGCATCACAGTTTCTCTACATGGGAACCGTAAGTTTATATTCTAGTGTGATTATATTTCATTGCAACCACGGCGCAACGGATAAGATTGGCACAAGTAATAAAGTGACGTCATCACCAGTGAAATCTGATTTGCATTGTTTTATAACGACTTGCAATGCAAGCGAGTCCGATACCCGGAAGTACATCTTGCGTAAAAGACTGCGTCACCAGCTGCTGGCATCCAGTGTTAAAGTTAGTCGCTGATGGGTACACAGGTCGTGAATGGCATACGTTTGGTATCCACGTGAAAGCATTAACCCGAGGTGGACACGAGGTAAACACATGGAGTAACAGATGAATATAGCTATCGTTACTTTGTAGAGGACGTTGACTTTAAACCACGGTTACTTCTTTTAGTAATAGATATTATTATGGCGAGACGTCAACAACGCTTACAGTTAACACTAATTGTATTAAGTACAATGTGCTTCGCATGGGGGCAAAGCAGTGTATGTTCGATCTCAAGCAATCTTGTGGTGGACGTAGGAGATACCTGTACCATACAAGCCGGGACGCATACAGGTCAACTAGATTCAGTCCACATAGCTGGTACAGTTATTATTGAATCTACAAGTAACGCGTATGTCACAATCACTGCGAGCAGTGTAGAGATAACGGATACGGGACACATCTCTGCTGACAGGCAAGGGTATGCTGCCAGGCAGGGAACAGGTGCTGGGAACACAGCTGGGTCTGGAGGTAGGTTCTAATACGTAATGTCAATGGTGGTTCTTAACCTTTCTATGTTTACATCATATCAACGTGCAATTATTTGTCGTAACATAATGGAGCTTGGTAGTACTCCAGAGCATTCTCTCTTCTTTGCAAAGCTGAGTTATTACCGGGACTAGACTCGCTCGATGGTGTCAGATTCCATGTAGACTCGCTCTCGTAAATCACAAGGTAGCAATTAACAAACTAAAAAGTTCGGCGATAGTGTAGAACTTTCAAAAGTGGCGTGACTAATAATTATTGGTAGACAAACATCTCATCGTGTTTCTGATTGTTTTCAACTCATTAAAATCAATGCAAGATGCTTAGGTCTGGGAGGCGGGGTGTCACAGTGAGAGAACTCAAGCACGCAAAAACAATCATCAAGCAAAATGAACAGAACGTGGAGTACAAGAAAAGGGGGGTCCTTTCAAAACCTCGATACTTTCTACGCACTTAAGATGCAAATTTGCCAGTTTCACAATTGTTAGAATTTTCGAAAATGTTCCTGTGTTGCTCACGTATTCAGTCAAAACTATCTCTGTCTCACACAGGGAATAGCGTCCATGATAAACTTAGGTTGTGCCATACACAGTCCCTCTATCGACTGTGTGCCATGTTAGTACTTTTTCTGACTTCTATGTCCATTGTGATATAAATAAGTGACGTTTGACATGTTTACTGAGACCCAGTTCCGTATGTTGTAGCTTTACTGATGCCATTAAAAGAAAACACATTCTTCGGAGTTGCGTAATTGATCATAATAACATTGTAGGTTTCCGAGAAATGTGAGAATGGTTTAATTATGTTTGCTTCATGCTCTACGTGATGACTAAAGGTAGAAAAGTCAGATTTCACCAAAAGAAAAAGTAACTTATACAATCGAGTCCCAAACAAGCTTCTGGAGGTCGTGAAGGTATAAGTTGAATTCAAAATGTCAATTTTCTGTGTCGCATAATTAATATATTAGAGTTATCCGATGTTTCCACATCCGCTACTTGCCACACCCAATGTGTGCGCGATGTGACGTTTGAAAACGCGATAACGATAAAAACGACATAACAATAGATCTTTGTTTGCCCCGAAGCCATGTAGCATCACACACATGTGTTCACAAGTATTTGAGTGATTTCCAACTGTAGAAATCGTGTCTGCATACGTTGGAGCAGTTGTGTGACCTTACGTTGACTGTCCGGCGCTGATGTGACTTAGCCGGTTTGTGCGTGACTGCAGGCACGAGATCCTCGCAATGACACGGTCTCACACCTACCACATGTCACGTTATGTCAGATGTTATTTGTTGTATTACTGATCCAGAAACGCGTTCTACAAAATAAATAAGAGTATTGGAATTGCAAGGTGCAAGCAGCGAGGTCGCTGACCAACGCCAATGAAATCATAAACGCAATAAAGAGACGCCTGCTGTTTGTAGAACGTTGGCCGAGTTTAAAGGCAGTCGTCGTGCCGCGCCCTGTTCGATATAGGACTCATAGCGGCATATATAACGTGTGTAACCACGACCACCGCACTTTAATAGGCGGTACGTACCGAATGTATTCTGCTATTTTTCGAAGCCATCAGATGCATCTAACAAACTGGCTTTAACAAGTTGGTTTGAACAAAACAATGTAAGTCATTGTAAATCAATGAAAATATGTTCTCCCATTGTGAAAGCGGTGTGGCAGTGTGAGACTGACTGATATGGCGGCGATAACGTTGTCTGCGTGCGGATTAAAAATAAATTATTGGCCAATTGTAGAACTAACGCACTTTGTTGCTATGCTGCTTTTGTTGTAGCAACACAACATGTTAATTTCCGAGCTGCCGCATACCTCGCTAAGAACCCGATGACCCAGATCTTTAGGTTGCGCCTGACGTACCGTGCTCATGGCACAGTCTACCGTCTTTGGTTAAAAACTGCTGCCTTAAGCAACATTTTATGAACCGTGACATAATTGAGTTCATTTTGAAAGCGAACATTTTACTTGTGTGGGACTTTGGGACAATATCATGAAAAACAAAAGTGTTTGTTACATGATGCAGAATTCAAGTTGTTACAAACGGTACATCCACGGTATTTGTATTTGTACACCCTATTCAGTGGCGGCGGCACGGGGGGGGGCGCCGCCTCTACAAAATCAAGCTGAAACCCTTTGTGCAAAATGTGCCCCTCAAAATGCAGGAAATAGCGTTTCAGATGGTCTAGATTTCAACATTTTTAAGGGACAGCATGCCCCGGGCCCCCTAGTAAGGTCGCGGCTTCGGCGCAAAGTTGGTGAGCAGATCTCGTCCCCATGCACAATGTTGTGCCTCCGCCTCCGCTATTTAAACAACATTCATAAATTCCAATGGCAGTTGAATCAAGACTATTGCTTGTCTGAGATCCAGTCAACCGACCAACGAGAGTAAAACAGGAGAATGGGGCTGTGGTCGAGAAAGTAATAGTAATTATCGGAATTTATAAATCAGGTTTAAAATCAAAATGTACATTATCGTAAATATTAGTTGTAAATATAAAAACTACATTAGATACAAACAAATCTGTGTAGACCTGATATACAAGATTTGAAACATTTAAAGATTAACAAGTTTGTGGTTTTGTTATTTGAGATTGAGAAAATATAATTTTGCGAATATATTAAATATTTGAACTTACCGACGTGATGTGTTCAGAACTATGGACAGTACAAGTCATTGCACAACCTGTGAATATTTGAACTTAACGTGTGTCTGGCCAATTAATAACGTAGTTTTCTCTCGGCCATTGCCCGCTAGAACGGTTTTGTATTCGTTCATCCTTCTCTCTTGGAGGCAGTAAGTAGAAACTTTATACCTTATAATTAAAGACGACATTCGACATAATTGCGCGATTTTTCTTTTAAGACTACGTTCATATGAGTTGCACTAGACTCGCACGAGTCATGGGGTGTCTAACGTGACACCTGAGATCATGGGTATCATTACCAGAAGGGGCGTGTGATTGTGTTTGTGTGTATGTTTGGAGTGGGAGCTCGTCGGGACCGTACACATGTTTGGAGTGGGAGCTCGTCGGGACCGTACACATGTTTGGAGTGGGAGCTCGTCGGGACCGTACACATGTTTGGAGTGGGAGCTCGTCGGGACCGTACACATGTTTGGAGTGGGAGCTCGTCGGGACCGTACACATGTTTGATATTGTCGCTAACAGCCTTCTTTGGATCGGCAGCACAAACTCTGATTGTTTCATTACACCCTTTTGATAATAATAACAATCACTGATAGTGATAACTGCTTCATATTTTTATATTACGTCATGACGAATGCAGAGGCCGCGGCACGAAATTCTGAATGGGGGCGAGATCTGCTCAGCATCCCTTGCGCCGAAGGCGAGGCCCGACCTCACTAGTGGATCCGGGGCAAGCTCCCCCTTTTTAATATCTAGACCCTCTGACACGCTATTTCCTGCATTTTGAGGGGCAAATTTTGCACAAAGGGTTTCAGCTTGATTTTTCCACCCGGTATCGCCGCCACTGTTCTGGTATATGAGTACAAGAAATGTCAGTGCGACGTCACACGCCTATTTAAAACAACACTGAAAATACTGATCTAGTTTAATTTCGCACTTTGCTTGTGTACATTTTCGTTCGTGTAAACTACTGAGTTTTCCCAAGTTTGTTCATTTCGTTATAAATAAATGGGATAGTAGTTTAAATTTGTCACGCGAAAAAAAAGAACCGTAAACAAAGTTTCAGATTTATATTTGTAAAAAAACACATATAAGTTAGAAACTTATAAATGTTACGAACTATAAGAAAATTCGGATAAATAATATTCATTTTTTAAGAGACAGTGCTTTAATACGAGTTCATATCAAAAATGTTTTTTTGTGTGTGTGTACACTTTCAGACAGTGTTTTTCCAAAACATAATGTGTTATGTAGGAATAGAAGCTGTAAAATCAATTAGTACTATAAAATTATTTAACATTTAGGAATCCTAATTACGTTTACACCCCTGTTTATTAGTCCCGGGATCTAATATGTTTATTTATTACGCAAAAAATATTGTAAATAGGAAAAATAAAGCTGTATATTTTTTGTCATTTTTTCTCTGTCCAAGTATATAAGAAATAAATATCGTTTCATTACGCTTCGTCACTCTATCCACGCAGCCAGACAATTCTATTCAGTATAAATTGTTCATTCAACCACGGTGCCCTAATGACACGAATCGCAAAATGAATAGTTTCGATCTATCAACATACCAGTATATACAACCACAGTCAGAGAATCGGGGGGGGGGGCATATTCAGTGACATATAGACTATATACGTTATAATTATTGATAACTGTAAATGCATCAATTTTCACCTGTATTCAATTTAATTTAATTTAATTCACACGTTGGTATGGAAACAATTATACATGTTCACGTCATATTGATTTACAATGTAGTTGATTTCACTTATATCCGCGAAAAATAATTAATGATTAATTAATTAATTCGGTTATAGTACGGGCTTGATATAACTACTGTACTATAGAATATAAATATACACATCACTATATATCACGGTAAATCATTCAAAGATTGCTGTGTGATGATTCATATACATACCCCTCATTCATATTTAACGTTTTTACGGAGAAAGAAGGATGTGTTTCCAAGAAAATATATGCAAAATAATCTAAAAAGCGGCCATTTTGGAACAGTTGAATTTTCGAGGTCGTTTTGTGGAAAACTTTAATTAGTAGTTTGTTGATCATATATATTTTTCAGAATTTTGAACATTACAGAAACCCAACCCCTCTTGTTAGATTTCAAGCAAAAAGTCTACTCATAATTGTTGAGAAAGTTGGTCATAAATCGCATGACAATGTTTATTGGTTTAATATTTAACATTATGAAGCTACAGTTCTATGGCACAATAGAATAACATGTAACACAATGTTAACAAAATTGCATTGTCCACCTTTTAAACCCCAGATTTTAAAAATAATTCAGGACAACAAAAATACCATATAACAACATATTTCACCAGCAATCAATTTGAAATATGGCATAATATCTCTGCCATGGGAACCTATGCTAAAACATTTTAATAGTGCCAAAATGGCAACTATCCACCAAAATACAACAATCATTTATTTTCAAAAATAAGGCTGATGACCCCAACTTGTTCTTATATTGCCTTCGTCTAAGTGTACAAATATTGAAAACATTGAATAAATTCTGGTTATTTATGCATAGGCTTCAACCTTAACTAAGTTTTAAGTTTATGGAATAAACAGTACTTGTCAAATTTGAAGACTCGTTTGAATTTAATATAATCCAGTCAGTGTCTGTAATAAGCCATACAGAGTGGTCCGACTCAAAGCTACTGGAGATCACATGGCAATCGCAATGCCATAATGTTATATACATAAGCAAAGGCTTTGACAGGATAAGCTTTGTCATGTTATTTTACGCCATGTTACGACTTTATGTCATTCACCAGGATAATTTCAGCATTGCGGGCGATCAACTTATCTGGCCGGGAACAGTGTGTTCTATGATGCGTCATTTTTACGGCTTATTACCCCGGGAACAGTTCAATCTGCAAACAGGGTTACTTCGAAGATAAATCACAAACGTTCATTAATTTTATTATTTATACATTATATTGGTGATATACCACTAAACGTTATGGTAATTCTTTTATCTTTCGCGACAATTACTAAGATTTGGCTTTCTGATTATGAGAATAACAATTGCTACAAACTACAAGTTGTTCTTGATATGCCGCCCAATGACAAACGTCACACGAATCTGGGACTTGTCAGTACATGATTACATGTACAATTTGTCAACTCCGGGGTAGTGCTACTGTGAACAAAATTTTGCATTATCGACTTTCGCACAGTATAGTGTCAAACTATGTCTGCTGTGAGTCATGACTTGACACTGTCTTTTAAGTCGCTGTTTTTTTGTATCAAACGATGGAAACTTTAGTGTTTACACAAGAAAGTCAAAGTATACGACATTATTGGGAATAATTTTATTCATTAAAGCTAAGTGCTTAAATCGTTTACATATCAAACGAAATTGATTTGACATTTAACATGTGTTAGATATGAAACGCAAAGACTTGTATACAAACCGACGTAGGCGTCTTATCCAATCAACTACATGTACGTCACACATGTCCACGTGATATGTTTCAATATACACCTTGTCAATAAACGAAAGCCAGGTACCACGTATTTCGACAGAATTGTTATTTAATTAATTACGTCGTTTATCATTTACTCGCTAAACCACTTTTTAATTATTCATAAAATTGTTGTTACTATAGACTTATTGTGTGTGTGTGTGAAAAAGGGTCGGTCAGTTGATTAGTGCTCCCGCAATGTCGGGAGGAGGAAGGAGTCGCTCGCCACCATTGTTGATTTGGGGGACAGCTAGTATTTACACTAGTATTTAGTATTTATTAATTTTTGAGCTACACTGATTTGAGGTCAGAACAGTTGTTTATGGCAGATTCCCAGTACTCCGGTGTTGATCGATGTGTATGTTTGGTAATAAACACGAAGCGACGTGATTAGTGGGTGTTTGGACGTCTTGGATGCCTCCGGACAAACCCGTTAGAGCATATAACTCTTTTTCGTTCTTCGGTACTCCTCTGATGCCGGTCAAATCCAGATCTGACTTGTTCAAAAATGCAGTTTAGATCAGACTGTCATTTGATCGAGGCTCCTAGCACCAATAACGTGTATATACTTTGTTTTAAACAGACTTGTATCTCGGCTTGCACGGCGTTACATCCGGGGGGAGATACATAGAACTTGCCTAATGGGGACGTGCCCCTGAAATGGGTCTCGTTTTTTGGATTTTAGGTATAACTATCGGTCTTATTTCTGGTCAAGATAGGTATAGAAATGGTACTTTGGTATAAATATATATATATATATAAATATATAGATTTTGCCACTATCCAGATATAAAAATGACCACACTTTTGAGCACTCTCCCTACCCAGCTATGTATTAACTGTCCCCCCCCCGCGTTAAATATCTACATATCGTGAACCAAAATATTGAACGAAAACTTGCAGTTATGAAATATGTCCATATGTCCCTTTTCTAAACGCGCCGAGCACGCACACAACATGCGGAAGTATCGTACTTCTCAGAACTCGTTTGTTTTGCCGCGAAACGTGGAAGCACGTCTGATGGTCGTACATTGACACTGGGATATTGGAACTTGAAAAAAGAGGTTCCTAGACTCGTTAGCGAGGGGTTACTACTGTTATTAGACAAACGTGTCCTATCATGTATTCCTAGAAGTCATTGCGCAGTTTATTTTAGCACTTTTTCTGCATCAAATAATCGATTTGTTGTAATCGATTGTACGCACACACTAAGAAGTAATATATTACAATCTAGAGGAGGTTGTTGTTTGACTTTGATAAATATTTACTATTACTGTTAACCTCGTCGATCCCATTTATTTAGGACTGTGCAAAATTGGTTTATGGGATCAATAAGGTTAATAAGGTTAATTGTTTATTTTCAGTAAGGCATTCAAAATATTAATGGCGGTTAATATTACCCGACAAAGATATATACATTTCCCCCAAATCATACTTTTGATAATTTAAAACGTGGTACAGAAAATGTTCAATTTTGTCGTAAACAATTTCGATGCAGACTTATTTGAAAAAATAGACATGCATGTAAACCAAATAAGCACGATTTTTGTTTTTTGTCGTTACGGGCTGTGGTATATCTCTTATTTCTGAAAAGAATGAGTCACTGCGTCCTATGGTAATAAATGTTGTGTATGCATTAATTACATTAATTCGGTTTACAAGAATGACAAATTATCTATAATTGGATCTGATGACATGATAATGTTAATGATTATTTTAAATTATTTTAAATTCGTCTGGGATGGAGAAAGTCATTGCAATTTGAAACCGTCATAAATGTAACTTGTTTTTATGGCTAAGGCGTCTTTCCACCTTTATACTAGGAGTTTTTCAACAGAAACCAAAACGACACTACTGACTGAATTTAAATTTGATGTAACTTGATGAATAAAATCAAACAAAATTCGACATGTAGATCACTCTATCGATAGGCGGGGAAAGGTATTTTAGAAAAATATAATTAGTTTTATCTCAGTAATTGTAACTATGCAAAATTCATTTTTACTTGCAGCTAGTTATGGTGGCCGTGGAGGGCGCCCTGCATCTGGATTTTTGTCCGGAGGCAGTGGCTATGGGAACTTCATCCGTCCCCTTGCATCAGGGAGTGGAGGAGGGGGCTCAAACGGTGGCCCAGGTGGCGGCGTCATCTATATCATCGGAAACAATACTGTCAAAATTGATGGTGTATTATCAGCGAACGGTGGTGATGCGTCTGGTTCGTCGAGTGGTGGCGGCAGCGGCGGGAGTGTGTTTGTTTGGACAGCTGATCTCAGTGGTAATGGCGGTCTCATTTCAGCCGTTGGTGGACGAGGGGGTACAAATGGAGGCGGAGGATCGGGGGGAAGGATCTCGCTACATTATAACGATTATGATTTTACTGGTAGAATGTTTGCACATGGCGGACGCCCAGGTATGGATTTTTAAAATTATTTTCCCGTTTATTTGTATCGTGTTAAATCATTGAAGGCAGCACTTAATCTTTACTAGTAGGCAATATTATAGTTTTCGGACGATGATGCACTTTCCAAATATTAAAACCGCTGAATACGAAACGAGGTCAATAATTTCTCTGAGGGTCACTATATGTTTTATTGTAACGAATCATTAAACACAACATAAATCGTTCTCGAAGTCTGTTGTAGACGACACTTCTGTAAACTACTCATATCGAGGATTTTCATTATTGTCTGCATACTTTCAACTATTTTTTTTATAGTTTTATAGCTTTTTCGTGTGAAATTGTAATTCTTTCCCACTGCCTATTTATGACCGGTAATATATTTATATAATGCCTGAATAAGAAAACGTCTTCCATGGTGCATTTTGTAGCAGTCAGCAACAAAGCCAAGTCATGTGACTTAATCTATGATTTCAGCTTTGTGTTACTTGATTGGACACAATGTGAAATATTTAAACATTTTTTTTAGATGGAGATGTTGACGAATATCAAACAGCGTCATCAATGTATGCATCGTCGGTTAAACCAGGATATGATGCCGATAAAGGCAGATTAGAGAATGGCAACACAGTCTGGCGACCACTGACTTCTCAAACTGGAAGCTTTATAAGAATCACTTTTGAGATTCCTCTGTATATAACATCAGTTTCCACGAGGGGATGCAAAGGAAATAAATGTTACCAAGGCGACGAGAACACACAAGAATGGGTCAAGAAATACTATGTAAAAATTGACGATGGCAGTGGATTTGTTGAATATAAGGTAGTTAAAATTACTGTTTATTTCAATCTACCTAAATTTATTTGCATCACCACATATACCTGGAATTATTTGCATAAACCTGAAATTATTTGCATAAACCTTCAGTCATTTGCATATACCAAGGGTGTGTTTGTGTCACGTACTGCCTTGGGGTGCTTCGAGTGGTGTGGCAATAGAGACACGTGGCAACAAAAGGCTTCAGAGAGAGCTGTGTTGTTATGTTATCGATTCAATCTGCTAGGATGCATGTTTCGAGAGCTTAAAAATGGAGGTTTATCAGACAATAACAAATGTACGTCTGAACTTCGTCGAACACCCCTGACCCTGATATCCACAGTTAGAGGTTGCACTATCAAAATAGCGTTGTGGTAGCTTGTTGATTTGTAGCAATAAATAACAATATATTAACACATGTACACCATGTAGTCACATGATTGTATTGGTTAATGCTATGCAATTGAAACTCATGTGAAATGTTATACATTATTTTAAAAAGACTTTCAGTTTGAAAAAATTACCTATCAATTACGTTGCTAGCTATCTTTTCCCCAAAGGAACCCTGCACTGTGATCGGTAAAAATTGCCTGAGACGTCCCAGGATGAGGTCACATAGCAGTCAAACAAAAACTGGGCAGGCTTGAGGCATCTCAAGGCAGCGACGCGAACATACTCCTTTAGTAATTTACATGAACCTATAATAATATACCTACACAGTTCAACTATGCTGTATATCAGCTTTTCAAAAGAATGCAATTTATATCTGACCAATTTAGAAGTTAGAATTCTGTTGTTTGCTGGTTTTCAAAATCTCCTCACACATTTCACCCATCTGAATGAAAAATAGAAGTACAGTCTGGTTTGGGCTGGTTTACATTGTTGTCTTACTATGTATGAGAATTCAATTAGAATGCATGGCTAGTCATAATGCAGTGGCGGATCTGGGGGGAGGGGGGTTCTTGGGTCCGGGACCACGAAAAAAATATAAAAAAATCATTAACTTAATCTGGCGATTTTGAAGTTTTGCCCCCCCCCCCCATAAAAAATCCTGTATCCGTCCCTGTAATGACTATGAAAACATCAATATAAATAAGCTGGTGTACAATATTCATTCAATTATTCTATTACAGCCATTTGGGAATACACGTACGATATTTGATGGTAATGTGGATGGTACTAATGAGAAGAGAAATGACTTTGATTTTCCTGTATTGGCCAAGTCAATCCAGGTGCACCCAACTGAATGGCAAGGGCAAATCTCATTGGCTGTTGGTTTCTATGGTTATACAAATGGTATATTTACGCTTGATTGTACAAATAAAAGACATTACCGTATTTGCTTTATTCGAAGTACTTGTCTATTAGAGGTACCAGCATGTACTAAATTTAGTTTTGATTATCTTTGCTTAATAAATACAACAAACTCATGGTTTCATTTATGCTATCAAATGTACATGCTTCTAATAGAGCACATATGGTAGTGGTTATTAGTTATTGAATTGAATACAATTCAAAAACAATGACTTACAGATGGCCTCTGTACGAACATCTGTAAGTCTATGTGTATATGTGTCCCCACCAACAACTGGGATATAACTTGTTAAATATTTATTTGATGTGTTGCTCTAATCTGTAATGTGCAACTTATTACATGTAAATTGTCTGTAATTATTTCTTTGTTTATTCTCACAGATGATGTTGGAAACACACCAGATACTGATTGTAATGTTGTCAATGGTTAGTTATGTTTTACTTTCATGATTACATTATGGTAGTCTGCTATTGTAGGGTTTTATCTTAAGCCTAATCTCACAACAAATTTATTTTCTGGATTAAAATTACAATGGATAACAAAGGATAGATTAACTTTATAAATATCATAAACAATAGTGTCCCATGATTCTTTGGTGCAATCCCTGGGCTTGGAAGGTTCCCCTTTAACAAACAACAAGTAGCTTTGTGATGAGTGGCCATTGCAGTAACTGATCCTTTCATCAGAGTTAATGTTTAATGTGTCTGGTGTCATTAACAACTGGTGTTAATCTGGGAATACCATTGTTAGGAGCTGTTAATTTGTTCTTATGATTTGGGCAGTTTCTCTGGCAGGGGTTCCTAAATAAGACCTATGCTATTCAACCGGAGCTTGATGCTTTAACACTTTTGCGTAAAATGATCAAACTTAAGTTTAAATTTTAATCAGCACAATTTCATAATTTACTGCTAACCTTCACAAAACTTGTGCTTGAAATTCACAGATGCTGAAAGTGGTGGTCCTGGCACAATTTACACACTAGAGGGCGCTCAAAAACGACTGAGAATCAGTAACATGGGTAATAAACCTAAAGTAAGTAAAATTTGACATTCACGTTTTCTTGTAATGCTGCTAACCAGAAAAATTATGAAAAATCAAATGCACTACAGATTCCTAATATTTTGCTGAGAAAAAGGTTTTATCAAATAAATTGAACAGAACAAATGGAAACAAACTTGTTTTTATGGAATCAGCGACATTGTGATTTCTCCATCACATTAATCCCTACTTGGTGGCCATTTTTTGTTGAATTTTTTTTTGGTCTTATTATAGATACCAGTGACTGCAGACTGTACTAAGTACCGATATGCTGAGTCAGGTAAGATTTCATAAGTATGACTTTGGGGATAAATTGAATTCTGTTTTAGTCTATTAATAAATGTAATAATTATATTTTTGATCTAAATTTATTTCAAAAATAAAATTGTTGAACATTTATTATCACATTTATTTAAAAAAAAATGTACTCAAACAAATAGTGCTGCTTGGTGTACATAATTTATGTATCTACAAAATATAAAAAATGTGGAGTTTTGTTTAATAAAGGTGCTGTTGCCTGGATACCAGCTGATGAGGTGGATGAGTATACGTTGCACGAATTGACCTTGGAGAACGGGGGTCAAGTTGTTTTCAACCACAACGCAATTGTATCAAACATTAATGGAGATGAAACATCCATTGTACACATCGCTGAAGGAATTCAGTTCCACCTTGAAGAAAGCAGTGTCACCACATCGGCACTGTATTTATATGACGATGCTGCTCTGGAGTTGGTTGGTAACATATGCCATATTAAGCGATCACTTGTAGCCTGGGGAGAGATTATAACTGACCATTCAGACTGGTTGACGTTTGGTGGATTTCTCCAAAGTAAAATGATACTTTACCCGAAACTATACAACAATGAACTGCATCTCAATGCCTTTACGATTAAAGAAGACGCAGAGGTAATTTTAGTAGAATCTGATGAGCCTGATATCTGCGGGTATAGTCTACATATCGATGGAGGATTTGCTGAGTTACAAATTGAGGAACGAGGGAAAATTAAAGTCTCCTGTCCATCTACATTTGTTGGTGGTAACTTTCAGATGGGATTGAATTCTGAAGCTGTGATAAGGGTAGACAGCATGCTAAGATTTGATGAAATTAACATAGCTGGTTCTCTGAGCATCACCAACAAAGCCATCTTTAGTGGCAAACTGGAATATTCAAAAATGCTGCAGTTTAACATCTTAGAAGGCGGAGCCATATATTTAGATACTAATAACCAGCCTCTTGTTGTCAATGGCACTGAGAATGCTGATATTACATGGTCTTCTCTTTACGCGGGAGATGTTGTAATTGCTGGTATTTTTCATCCAAAATTGCTCAAAAACAACGATGGAGACTTGTCTGGGTGGGAGATCCTAATTGTCAATGCCAGTGGTGTCTTCAATTTCACAACTGCAGGCAAGTTTCAAGTGGATGACATTGATGTTGCTGGAAAGATTATCGTTCAAAACCCGATATGGATGGAGTCAAGAGCAGACAATGTGAAGCGTGTTAACTCAATTACAATAGAGGAAACTGGTGAAATCCGATTAGATGAAACAGGTTGGTCGAGAAATCTTTTGTTTACTAGTAAATCTAGTTTTACACAGGAATAGATGATTTATTAGTTCCCGTTCGGACGCAGTTCGAAAACAGGGAATGTGTTTCTAGTGCCATATCTCCGACTTGTTTTGTTTTGTTTTAATGAATGGGTTTCCAGACCCATATGTCTGACTTGTTTTGACTGATTATGTTCAAATTTTTATTATTCATTATACATCATGTCATAGATATACCGGTACAGATATATTGGTTTGACGATCCTTTTCAAAGTTGCCAAATGGTGGCTATTTTTGTGCTAAAAACAAATCCTCAAATATCAAGCATTTCTTGCATTTATGGATGGATTTTGTTCAAACTTGGTACATATATTAGACATTATGGGGGCCTGATGCACGTCATTTTATTTTTCAGATTGGATTCAAAATGGCTTTCAATATGGACAAGTACTTGTTTGACGATCAGATACAAATGTCAATCATTTTAATGTTAAAAAATCATATTCCTGACATGTTTATATTTCAGCTATATTACTATAAACAAAACTTTATATCTTAAATTTGATAACTAATGGGGACTGTGCCATGCATGGCTTGTTTCACTGAATATCCATCTGGAAATATCAGGAATACAGAAATTCAATGTGTATGATTTATTTGATTTGATGTTTGTAAAAACTTTGTATATAAATACCAAAAATGTTTGTCTTGGAGGATTTTACCTCATAATATATTCAAATTATTTATTGTATGATTTATTTATTATATTCTCAAAGTTATTCAATGCTGCACAGTTGTTGTGTTGTGTTGCATCATGTCGTGTGGGTCCCATGTAACATATATAGGATAAAAAGAAATTTGTGGTGCACATTTACTCTGGTGCTTCAACTAAGAGATTGCAAATCATTGTGTAATTATGTGTCCTTCAGAACGGTATTATGATGTCATTCTAATTATTATAAAAACAACTCTAATGAGATAGGGACAATTCGCATAATACATTGTATTCCATTTTTACTATTAGCTATCTAACTAGAATACTGTAAATGCAAATGCACTTGGTTTAAATTTCACAATTTTTTCACTGATAAGTAAAATCTGCTAAATTAAATCTATGTAAGTTACTAATTCAATTTTCATATTCCATAGGGAGAATCACTGGTGCATGGTCATATGAGTCAACTTTACTGGTAAAGCAACTAGTCAATAAGGGTCACATGTTTGGTGGTTTGATATCTGTTAACTCCACTGATGTGCATGGTTGGGACTATTTGGTGGTGGATGGAGCGGCAGCAGTGTTAGAATTTGATGTTGAGGGTGCATTTCGATGTAATGATATCAACATCATGGCAGGGACAATGCAAGTACTTAATCCAGTAGTTATCCAGGGGAAAGATAACGTGCTGTGTGATAGTTTTGTGGTCGGTGCATCAGGAATTGTACTTTTAGACATGAACGGTGGATCAAGTCAGGATTGGCGACAAGATGCGTCAATCTTGTATATAGAGGAATTTGAAGTAAATGGTACATTTCATGGTGGTGCGTTGACATCTGGATCAGGTTGGCATGCATTCAGTATTGGCCCCAATGGTGTGGTAACATTTCAGAGTTTTACTTCTAAAATACTGATAGATACAGTTTGGATCGCTGGCACCCTGGATGTGCTCAACCCAGTCATTATCAAAGGTCGACAGAGGTCACACAGCATATCATTTACAGAGACACCAGAGGGCGACATCACACTTGACAGTGGCCATTATGAAGGATCTGATTTAACCAATCTGACATATTCAGGTCTGTGGGCTGATGTTATTATCCTTGATGGACAGTTCACCTCACACAATTTGTCAATAAGTACCACTGCATTTACAGTAGGGGGCACTGTAACATTTGAACCAGGCATGGTAGAGCAAATTGACATTTTAACTGTCAGTTCAGGCGGACGACTAGAAGTTATTCGACCAGTCACTTTCCGTGGATATGCCAGTGCAGATGGCAAAACAGAATCGATAACTGTGGATGGTTTTATGAAACTAGACATGTTTGGTAACCATGACGATAAGCTATGGTCGTCAGATATCCCATCAGAGTTTCATCTCCATGATCTGACTGTAAATGGTGAGTTGCATGCTGGGTATCTTTCTGATGGCAATGGCTGGGACTCCCTAACTGTAGGAGAAGGTGGTATTATGAACTTTGACCCCAACGGCACCTGGTACATCATGGAATCTATAATAGCAGGAAGTGTTACATCATTCCGTCCATTTTTGCAAGGTGATCCCCTGACAGGTTCCAGACTGGTAATCAACACTACTGGTACATTGGATTTAGTGTTCAAAGGAGAACCTTTAGATACTGGTTCTGGTGCACCATATTCATACCTTGTTTTTGACATTGAGATTATTGTGAATGGTGACTTTAAAGCTGGTTCCCTCAACATCACAACACTTGAACTTACTATTGGTAGTACAGGAACAATGAATGTAGATGGTGGTGGTTTTCTCAGTGATCAAGGCATTGGTATGTACTATACATCACTTAAATTATTAACAAAATTACCAAAGTAGAGGTTACTGTTCAGTTTTATTGACCTGAAGAGAAAATTATTGACTGAGGTGCAGGTCATAAAAACTGAATATTGGCCGACATTATGGCAACTTTTTGTTTTATTATACCAACATAAGCCAATTGTTGGAGTGAACTATGCATGTGCAATTGAGTAATCAGGGTCACTGGATTTTCAGTTATTGACTCTACTCTATTTCCTACCATGTGACCACGTTCTGACCAATCAACATGCTGTTCTTGAGGTATAACAACCTGTTGATGTGGTTGCTAAAGTCATTTGACCATGTTCTGACCAAACAATATAATGTGTTTGAGGTATAATAACAATCTGTTGAAGTGGCTGCTCAAGTTATATCATAATGTACATTGTGTATTATTTCCCTATTGGTTTTTCATTTTGTTGCTTTTTGTCATCTTTCACAAAATGAAAGCAACATAATTTCTAAAATTCTGATCAAGTTCTGTAGCCAATAAAAATACATGTCCATTTCCCAAACAATTTTAAAAATAGAATTTTGCATCAATATGTCACCCAAAGATTAAAATTTACTTACCAACAAATAAAATCATAGTATTGTATAAGGGAAATCTTTTTGAATTGTTCTGATTCATTTTATCATTATGTTATCCCAAGGTGCTGGACAGAGTTCTTCAACAAATGGAGGATCTGGTGCTAGCTATGGTGGACGAGGTGGCCAAGGCTGTAGAAGTGCAGTTTATTGTACACCATCAACTATGCCATATGGAAACATATTTAAAGACACTGATATTGACTGGGGCAGTGGTGGGGGTTCTGGTAGTGGATTAGGTGGACGCGGAGGAGGCAGAATATATCTTAGGTTACGCGATTCCTTTACGATGAATGGACACATCTCTCTTAATGCTGAGCATGCACCGGTAGGTTATAAAAATATTATATGATAATATTTATTGTATAGTCATATGAGAAAAGTAGGGATTTTTTGATTGCATGACCCATATATCCTACCTGAGTTGACCACCTACATGTACAAGGGATCATCCTCTGATTTCACAGACTCAAGGTGTAGTAAATCATTCATTACAAAATGTGACTATTTTGATTTCGACTTTTTGGATTTTGGTGTTTTTGGTGTTCGGCTGGGTCTGACTGGCTCTGGGATAGAACTTGAATGCAATAATGCCATTTTTAAAGCAAGATCAAATATTTAATTTAAAATATTTTAATGGATTTGATGCTTCAGGGATATTCAGTGTGTTTTAAATACATTGGTTTGTGACGGAAACATTCATACTATAGTTAACATTTGTTTAATTCAACAAATTTACCTATCAAAGAAATAAGGAAAAATAAAGGCCAAGTCTCACAATGTACACAACTGTATAACAATCCTATTCAATTTCAATATAGCTAATTTAAAATTGTCATGCTTTGCACATATATTTATTGAATGTTAATTAAATTATAAATTCAAATTTTCTTTAATTAACATTACTGGCACATTGCATATTGCAGAGTTACAGTCGTGGTGGTGGTGGGAGTGGAGGAGGATTATGGGTAGAAGTTAAACAGTTCCAAGGTAGAGGTACTATTAGCTGTAATGGTGGTGATGGTGATTATTATGGAGGAGGTGGAGCTGGGGGAAGGATTAATATCTACTATGTAACTGGAGATTACCACAGTGGTCAAATTACATCTAAAGGTAACACATGATTGCATGATAGAATATCATCTATCTATTTTTAGTTTCAGTAGTTACTTTATTTTGTTTGCCATGTAGGAAATTACTAATTTGATACATTTTCTACAGTATATATGGATGTACCCCAGTATATGGATGTGAAAGGTATTTTTCTATGGGATGTATGCTCTTATAGGAGGTGATTTTATATGAATGGTGTACTATGGGAGGTGTGTTTCTATGGGGGTGGCTTCTGTATGTGATAGCATTCTATGGGTGCTTCTATGAAATGTAGTGTTCTATGGATGATGTGTTTCTATGTGTACTATGGGAGGTGTGTTTCTATGGATGGTGGCTTCTGCATGTGATAGCATTCTATGGGTGCTTCTATAAAATGTAGTGTTCTATGGATGGTATGTTTCTATGTGTACTATGGGAGGTGTGTTTCTATGGATGGTGGCTTCTGTATGTTGTTAGATTTTGTAGGTGCTTCTTTGGGATGTATTTTCTCTTGTTGGTATGTTTTTTGTATACAAATCTGCATAGAAATCTTCTTTTTTCTCTCAGAAAGTGTCTTGATCTGCATGTGTGCTTTGTCTCTTCAATATAGTTTATCTATAAATGACATCATTGTTTTGTTATATTTAGGTGGAATTGGTGGTAGGACATATTCAGAACCTGGTGGCCCTGGAATCACTTATTTGAGTGGTACACAACCATTTCACAGAAATCTGAGAATTGACAACAAATGCCAGAATGCACATGTAGGTATTTTCATTTGAACTTGTCTAGCACCTCCTAGTGGCAGTCTGTGGAGAGTCTCCAGTAATGTCAATATAGTGCATAGGTATTTTCATTTGAACTTGTCTAGCACCTCCTAGTGGCAGTCTGTGGAGAGTCTCCAGTAATGTCAATATAGTGCATAGGTATTTTTATTTGAACTTGTCTAGCACCTCCTAGTGGCAGTCTGTGGAGAGTCTCCAGTAATGTCAATATAGTGCATAGGTATTTTTATTTGAACTTGTCTAGCACCTCCTAGTGGCAGTGTGTGGAAAGTCTCCAGTAATGTCAATGTAATGCATAGGTATTTTTATTTGAACTTGTCTAGCACCTCCTAGTGGCAGTGTGTGGAAAGTCTCCAGTAATGTCAATATAGTGCATAGGTATTTTTATTTGAACTTGTCTAGCACCTCCTAGTGGCAGTCTGTGGAGAGTCTCCAGTAATGTCAATATAGTGTATAGGTATTTTTATTTGAACTTGTCTAGCACCTCCTAGTGGCAGTCTGTGGAGAGTCTCCAGTAATGTCAATATAGTGCATAGGTATTTTTATTTGAACTTGTCTAGCACCTCCTAGTGGCAGTGTGTGGAAAGTCTCCAGTAATGTCAATATAGCGCATTGTGAACAATGGTAGCACACTCACTGTTTTGATGAAAAATATTGTAAAATCATGAAATTAACAAGACAACCTAAAATTGTGAACAACTATTTTGATTCTGTTGTATTATAAGCAAGCATGAGCTCTGTGGTGTACTGTAAAAGGGTTAATTATTCACTGGGTTTTAATTTTGCTTATTTTGCTGACTGGAAAATGCACTAAATTAAAACCCAATGAATATGTAAAATTTAGCATAAAACACATTATCAAAATGATAAAACGGTGAATTTAAAACCTACTGAATATGCCTGAAATGGTAAATCAGCGAAATTTAAACCCAGTGAAAATTACTCATTTTACAGTATTTCGTTGACTGGAAAATGCGCTAAATTAAAAATTTAGCATAGAACACATTATCTAAATGATAAAATCTTGAATTTAATGGAATGAATATACCTGAAATGGTAAATCAGCGAAATTTAAACCCAGTGAAAATTAGTCATTTTACAGTAATTTCTTATAATATTATCATACCAAAGGCACACCTTATTCGTTTCAAGTACAGCCCTTGAGAATTTATAAATTTAAACTCATGTTGCAAATGACAATTAATTTTTGTAAATAATAAAATAACTTTAGTCAATAAACTGTAAAATATACTGTGAAATACTTTATTTTAGCTGGAATAAATTTTTGCTGAAAAGACTTTTTGGGTGTTTTGTATGGAATTTATTTCCATAGATTTTTGACTAGTTGAATGTAAAATATAAAAAAAAATCGTTCCTTCAGCGAAGATTAGTTGCAAGTGAAACAAAGTATTTTACAGTATAAGTTTGATTTGAACAGCTTTGAGCACCATAATATCTACATTTGCCACCCCCTGAGTTAATAGCCAGTCTACAGATACATGTTGTAATTTACATTTCTATTAGGTGACTAGACCAACAGGGGACAGGGCTACTGAAGAACATTATGATGAATATATATCAACAGGTATTCTATTCTATTCTATTCTATTCTATTCTATTCTATTCTATTCTATTCTATTCTATTCTATTCTATTCTATTCTATTCTATTCTATTCTAATCTAATCTAATCCAAACTATTGCGCCCCAGTTTAATTCAAGTTCAGTTTGATTCTGCGATAAATAAAATCATTTGTTACTGTTCTTTGGCTGTTGTCATCTCAGTTTACCTGTAAGCTACATCATTATTATTGTTCTTACTTCTCCAGGGGCCATTGCTATTTTACTACCATTGGTAGAAGACTATACATATGAGTTTACTGATATTGAGATCTATGGGGGAGCTGAACTGGCATTTTCAGCTAACACTACAATGGTGAAGACACAGTATATCTATGGGGATGATACAGGATATGTACACGTTGCACCATACCAGACACTGGAAGTCAATGCTGTAAGTATTCAAACTACAGTAAATGATTAATTTTCACTAGTTTTTAATTTCACTATTTTCACTCAAAATTAAAATTTTCTAAATTAAACCCTTTTGAACACGTGAAATAACAATTGTAGAACTTATTGTTTCCCTTGCCAAGTTCATGAACTCAAAACCCAGTGAAATTGCTCAAAACATCAAAACAGTGATATTACCGATAGATGGCAGTGAAAATAAATGGTTATACCGTATTCTCAACTAACATACATTTGTACTGATTGTCTTTTTTTATTGCCAATTACGAATTATTAAAAAATATAGAATATATAGAAGCAATATATGGTTCTGGTGACGAAAGCATTGTTTTTATATTCAAGTTTATTTATTGTAGGTGTCACCGTATAAACGTGTGAATGTAACCTATGCCCCGTACATCTATGAAAATGCTACTTTCAAGTTACCTTCTGCAACAGTCGAATTCCGGCCATCATTTGATTGGAATGAAGTAACTGATGTAGACAGTTGCCATAGCGATATGCTAATCAGTGCAGTAGATACCATCTGGGGTATATTGGATGGATCCAATGCTCATCTCTTGATTGCTACAGGTAGGAATTTCAGTTAATATGTAAAGTGTTCTATGATTGGCTAGAAAGTTAGGTTTTTGGGTTGGGTAGCCAATGAGAGGATGTCTTACAAATCAGCTATATTTCTGTTATACAAAAGAGTGAGTTCCTGCTTGATTGGTTGAAGTACAGTGTTGGCGATACTATACACCTATAGATTGTACATGGCTGTGTTTGTATATTGTATAGCCAAATACAAAATATAGTTTATCTTTACAGTTCTTATACTAATCCATGACAGTGGTTACCAGCCTTGCACAGTATATTTGTAAAACACTTTATTTTATCTGCAATTAATTTTCGCAGAAAAATATTTTCTGGTGTTTTTGTATGGAATTTATTTTTACTGATTTTTAGCAAGTTGAATGTAAAATATAGGAAAAAAAGGTGTATTCGCTAGATTTTATTTTCACTGAAACATTCCTTCAGCGAAAATAGCGGAAATTAATTCCAAGCAAGGATAAAACATTTTACAGTATTTGTAATGAATATAGTTCTAGTGCATGTACAGATGTTCCACAACATTTCCTTTTTTATATCCAGGTGAAACCTTCATAATGGAACTGCCTTCTAGAAGAGAATTGGAATTTGTTGGCATGACAATTCAGGATGGTGGAATACTCAAGTTGAATAGTTATACAGAGATACAAGATGATAGATGGCATGTCAGAGTAAGTATTTTACATGTAGTTCAGGGATTTAGGAGGTCTGGACCAAATCAAAAATTAATTTATAATTAGTTTTATAATTTGAGTTCATATCATAGAACGGACACACACAGTAAATGCAAAATGTTTCATTTCTAATCAAAAATCCCTCATAATTTCTGTCCAATGATAGTAACATGATCAATAGATACAAAATTTCTATCTCATAATGCATTGGTATAAGCTCAGTATTATGCTCAATAGTTGCAAAACTTGAATTTCTATCCCATAATGCATTGGTATAAGCTCAGTAGATCTTGTTTGTACAGTTGGCTGTGAGTATGTAGATGTTTGGTCTGACGCTATCGGTCAAATGATTATATTACTATG